CGAACCGAACTCCAGAAATCAACACCCCCTGCCCTCTTGGCCGGCTGTGTTGTTACAATGCTGGTGATGGTGGTTCTTGTCAGGACCAACTTCGGACAGGCCCCCGCAAGACGAGCTAGCTGCCATGTTGCTTGCACCCTGGACCTTGTCAACACGATGATGATGACCAAGAGGATGATGATGATGACGACGATGATGATGATGGCAATGAGCAGGTAGATGCATGGCAGCAGTAAATCTGCACGAGCAGGGGCGTGAGTAAGATTATCATCATCAGCAGCAGCAGCAACTACGTCGTTGTCTGCACAATCTTCATCATTCTCGTCCGCACGGTGGGGGCCGTGGGGGTAGTGCTGAAAATGACAACCGTCGACAGGTACGAGGACAGCGATGCGGACGTCCCTGTGACTGTTTGCGCTGTTGAGAGGCCGGGGTTGGCGAAGGCCACTGACACGGCGATGCGGAACCATTACATATATGTATGTTTACGAGCAATAATAGCAATGATAACAATAAAAATAAAAACAGCAATAATAACAGTATTTATTGTCATAAGAACAATAAAGGTATTTTGGGGAGCTTATAGAGGACATCACTCTGCCTGCGCGAGCACGAGCAGTCCCAGCAGGCCGCGGCGCGAGGGACTCCAGCGTGGCAAAAGAACAAAGACGGTGGTACGGGCTCATAGGCTCAGTAGAATTCCTGCCTCGCGTTCTCGGAAGGAACAGCGACAAAGGCGGGAGCCTGAACACCCAGCTCAGACTTTCAGGCATGAGAAGCAACGGAATGCTGTGCAATCCCTGTGGCACCTCGAGGAGCCCAGCACAAACGGCAAACAGCAGCAACCCTGCAAGTGTGCATTAGGCATCACCGTCCGTAGCCGTAGCTATAGATGTCTCTGCCTCTTTGGAGCGAAGGCCGGAAGTTTCCTCAGACTCCAAAAGCCACTGGACATGAAGATCGGAAACTTGGGATCATCAAATCTAAGCCGAGGCTTGTACCCGTGCGCCTACCCATGCTCACCCAGGCCATGGACAGGCAGAGCCGTCACTTAAACTACAGACGAAACTCCTGGAAGTCCTTGCACGGTGATCCTTGTAGTGCGGCAAGTTATGAACTTTCCCCATCGGGCCCATGAGCCTCTCGAAATGCTTGAGAAGCCCTCATGGCATCGCAAGCGGCAATCAGTGCACAAGGAAACATGGCACGAGCAGGACAACCAACAGTATTGGGCCTGCATGCACCACGCTTTGGTGCACTCGCTCGACTCTACTCTGGAAACTATCACTGAAGGCACTCCTGGGGGTGAGACAAGAGCGAACATGTTGGAAATGCCACATCTAGCTTCGTGCTCAAGCTCTCTGCGTCATCTCTGCCATCTAGGAAAGGCACAGGTGGCTCCAACGGCTGCAGTGTCTCGGATTTCTCAGTTCGCTCACCAAGGCTTCAAATGGTATGTGGCAAATGAGGGGAGCAGTCCACTGTTGGAGTTCCCGACAAGCCATGACGTTCCATCCTCACTTGTTGAGGAGCTCGGTTTTCTTTTTCTCTTTGGCCTTCCAGGGCAAAACGCGGATGGCCGCAACAAAGCAGCACTCAAGCCTTTGAATGATCGCTTTATTGATGGTTGCAACACTTGAACAAGGCACCGAAGTCAGGGTGCCCCCTGCCGCCTCGAGAAGCTTGCGCCTCTCGTTCCGAGCCTCCAGCGCCTGCCGAAGCCCGGTCAACAGGGTGTCATAATTGCCTCTGGCCTTCCGGCTCTCAACCCGTACAACCTGGAGTAAGAACCTCTGAAAGTCCTCGCCCCTGAGGCTGAGCGCCTTCTCGTAATCCTCTTCCAAAGTTGCTTTTCTGAAGCCCTCGCCCAGGATCTGCATGTTCTCCGAGAACTCCTCAGCTGTGCAGTCAGAAGTCTCCCAGTGTCAAGCGCCACCCCAAAATCCGTGCACGCTCTCCTCCGTACCCAGCGCGCTGCCCTCCTTGTCAGGGTCCCAGCTGGCAGACATCATGCCGTAGGCACCACCTGATGGGGGAGGCAGCAAATCGAAAAAAAAACAATGGTCTCTGCTTTGTATGTTCAGGCCCAGACCGAAGATGGCAAGAGCCAGGAGCGCCAGAGTCACGAATGCCATGAGAGTTGGCGGTATGATGATCTCCTCGCTTTATCCGCTTCTGAGGAGAGGTCTAGCACAGTGGTGTACAAAGGCCTGAGTCTTGAAAAGGACGATTCCAAATCCAAACACCGCGAGCATGGTGGCATAGAAGGAGCCTCCGATGACCATTCCTGCTACAAGGTCATGCCAGTGGCGCAGTGTAGCCGAAGATTTACGGCCACTTCGGAGAGAGTGAAGTCACGATATCTATGGAGGAACTCTAAAGGTTTCAACCCAAATGGCTGGCCGTGCCTCGCTTCGCTACACGCTCTGCGACTGGTGGTGGCATCACGGCGACCTCGCGGCCGTACCTGAGCCGTCACCAACGCATTCCAGGAGCCAAGCCCGATTTTTTTCGCAGGACCCGCGCTTTGCGATCATAGCTTTCCCCATCTCGTATTCATCGAGCTCTTCCTGTCACATCGCATGCTAATGAGGCCATGAGAGTCGACTCGTGCCAGTCGGAGGCAAGTCAATTTCCTCCCTTCTTAAGAGACTGCGGAGTTCAAACCGGCCCGGACCCCCTGACTACCCATGAGGTCCGGCAAGCACAGCTTGCTTGCCTTGTTAAGACTCGCAAGCCTCTGGAAGTATCAAGTCGCAATCTTGCCTCGCGCTTCTGTCGCAGGGCCAAAGTCTTGTCTCGCAGGTCACTGAGGCGCTGCTTCCTGCCACCACTTTGCTGTGAGTCAGCCGGGAAGCTGTTGCCAGGTGCCCCTCTCGTGACGCATCAGGATTTCACTTCTCAAGCCACAAACTAGTGAGACCCGCCAGAGGATGGTACAACGAGGGCCGTTCATCTGAATAACTTGCAGCGCGATCAAACGCTTGATCTTCGACTTTTTCATTGAAGCATCTCGCCCAAAGTACAGACGTGATGGTATTGTTGGAGCCAGAGGCATGCACGACGGGTTCAGTCATGCACTGGACCAAGCATTCAGACGACGGGAGATCTTATAAGATTCTGGCACACGAGATTCGCGGGAGACCGATAAGTATCGCTAAAACCTCTGAATCCCAAGCCTTTTGCGGCTTCAGGTTTGAAGGACTCATCCTCATTACCGAAACAAGCCCCAACTCCCGAAAAAATGTACCCTCGAAGCCCCAACAGCTGCCACGAACTAACCCTGAACCTTACAACTGAAAAGCCCGGAAGCGTGAAGGACACTTAACAACCAAGCCCTATCGAAGACCCTGAACCCTAAACCCTTGAAGACTGCGCGCTAGACCCTAAATCCCTCAAGAACATTGACCCGGCATTTCGGCTGCCGAGTCTTCGATGTCACAACGCAATCAAACAAGCAATGATTTGCAATCTCAACCCCTGCCTATTACCTACCAACCCCGACCCTGAGCCCGCAATCCTTGACCCTAGACCGCAGACCCTGAACCCCAAAAACCCCAACCTAAACGACTGCAAACCAGGAAACATCTACCCTAAACCCGAAAATGACGTCCACCCCAACCCAAAGCCCCAAAACCCTTAACCCTAAATGCTTTGAGCACTCAAAACCACACCCCTTAAACCCCAGACCCGGAACTGTCTTCAATTCCCTTACATCCTGCAAACCCGATGAATGCCCTAAACAACCCAAACACACGAAACCTTCAAGCCCCAACCCGCAAACCTACGAAACCCAACACCCCAAATACCCGAAACCTTCGTTAATCGTGTGAGCTCGAATCGCACCCGCTTCAGTCGTGCGTGACTGAATCGGGGCGCGCGCGCCATTGAACCGCCAGAAATTGAATCCGGGTGAGATGCGAAGCTTGAATTTCGAAGTGCAGTGCGGTCCGCGCTCGAATCGCGACTTTGAATTGATACGACTTGCCGATAGTTTGATGGAGCAACAAACATCGTCTGAGCCAATGGAATGGAAAGTGCCGGCTTAAACTTTTTGAAGCAGGGAGTGTCTCTCCCACTGGCCTTCAGCATACTAGTAACATTTGCTCAGAGCTCATGGACATTTGAGTTTGGCCTTCCCACTTTGCCCAGTTCGTCATGCGAACATTTATCAACGCCCCTTGTCCACAACTCTGGATTGTCGTTGCTTTAGATAATCGGCATTGCCGGAAACGAGCATGCGAGGAAGCAATGGCCGAACGGTGCGCTCTCCAAAGTGTGAGGAAGCATTTAGCGCAGCAATTCGCGAACGCCTGCAAAGGACGCATAGACGACAAAGTCCAAGATAAGGCCAGGCAATCCGCGACAGGAGATTCATTCAGCTCTCGGCCCCCCTTGCGGGACTTGCATATATGCTTGGATATGACTCGCAGATGAAGCTGAAGCCACAGCAACTTGTGTGACAGAGGGGATCCGTCATCATCATGTCTGGCGTTGTCACTGTAGGTGATGAACGCATGGTTGACTGCGAGTCTCGATGTCATGTACCCCGGTTCGTCGTGATAGAAGCGCTTGCACCCTGCACAGACGACTGGATCTGAGGTCTCGGCGTCAGCGCCTTCGTCTTTGAAGACTTCTTGTTCTGGGCATATTCACCGAGAGTCGGGCTCTTTAATCCCATCCAAACGCTCGTGTTCACGACGCTCAGACATGCTCAAGGCTCTTCTGGACACTGGACACGTGAAGAGGCTGGCACGCAAGTGAACTCTGCCCCGCCGCAAGCAGGCCTTCATGATGCTAGTCTTCTTCCCGCTACCAGCCTTCAGGCAGCAGGGACATGCGTGCCGCAAGGCCGGAATTGACTGATGTAAGGAGCATGTCATGTGGGCGAGCTTCCATCCAGATCGAAACGTCGAGTACACACTGCAAACTCCAAACAACGACAGAGCACCTGGCAGCCGAAGCCCTACGCATCTACTACCCGCGAACCACTCCACGAGAAGACCACGTGCACCGCAAAACGCACGGCACAAAGGGGATTTCGAGACTAGACCAAGGAACCGATGAGGCGGGCAGTGTGGCCCTGCTAGGACTTCGACCAATTTCGGAACTGTGGCGGGAGAAAATCAAGCTGGACAACGCCATCGAGGTGTTGGAATTCACAATGACGCCGCTCACACGGGACTGTCAAAAAAAAACTCACTTCAGTCCAAAAAGTGCACTGTGACGCGGCGGGCACCTCGAGGTCACACTAAGCCATGGAATGGTGGTCCTACCACTCTGCTAGGGGAAAGTAACCCGATCGCCTCCTTCGCATTCTTCTCCGGAGCTGCCTTCGACCGGGTACCAAAACTAAGCTCGGAAACGGCCAGACATTTGACATGGTAGTGGGCAAGGGAGCCAGTCTTGAAGGGTTTGCTGACACAAGTCATCGAAGAGCAACAGTGAGACAAGCACTGCCAAACACGATGTCTGACAGACACGGAGAGCCACTCAGTCCATGCGCAAGGCTGCATCTGTCTAGTCTAGGTGCTCAGCTGTACAGCAGTGAAGACTCGCTTGAACATTCAAGCCTCTGTCAAACAAGTATGCGCTTCCGCCGCTGTGCCATCATGTAAGAGCCTGTGTCATTCCTAAGAACCCAGATCGGTTTTAGCGGTCGGGCTCGGAGCCAACGAGCTTCTGACTGAAGAGCTTTAGCCACTGTAGCTCATCACGTTGGGTTAAGCAATTCCGGAAGGCATCTTGCCTCGCTGTCGCCGAAGCCCTGCAGAAGAAAAACGCTCCCATCACCGAAAAGCTCCAACAGGGGAACGAACGCTACGACCTGTCGCGACGGAAGAAGAAACAGCACCTCGCCTTCGATGCAGCGTACCTCGGCTGCGCGTGTTGCTCAGCCAAGCATCATGCCGGGATCACATCGCGAGAGGCCTCTGTGTCGGAAGTGTCCTCGAGAGCTGTGCCACCTCGAAGCCAAGCGCACAGCAGAGACGGCAACAGACCTCTGAGAGCTGGAGGCTCCGTCCAAGGGCCAGGCTCCGGTGAAGCTGGGCGCGGCCTTCCGCCATGGCAGATGTGCAATTCAACCGTTTGCCTTGAGCCCCGCCTGGAGGGCCAGGCAAAGGCCCCCAGAAGCCATGAGGAGCCGGCGGAGCCACCTGCAACAAAAAGGGAAGAAGTGGCCATTTCGGCGGCCCAAGCCCAAGCATGTCCAAGGCCTCCCGGGTCTGCGTGCGTTGCCCCGCACAGACATGGCCTTGCGAGGTCCGACAGCAAAAAGCTTGAGATGGCTTGAGAGGGATTGCACCATAAGGCTGTCCTGCGGGTAGCAGCAAACGTGTGCCATGCAAGTTCGACTGCCTTCCTGTTCTTCCTGCTGTGCTGATGGGATCACATGCTTCCACATGCTTCCGAAAAAACGGTCACGTTCGCTTGCTGCGATGCTGTCATTTCAAGATTGCTGCGCTTTCGTGCATGTATATTCGAACAAGAATATCTTCCCATCGTGTTGTGGTTGTGACGAGGACAATTCCACCTCGTCGAAACACCTGAACTTTCAGCATGTACCTACATTGCTCAACCCACTAGACACGCGTTCGCACGCAAAACAGACATTAGGATTACATGGGCGCTTGCAGTGTTTTATCCAGCTCACGTCCCATTTGTGTCGCTCCCCGCTGTGTTTGCAGCAAATCGGTGTTCAGGGCAGGTTCCATCTCGTGGTCAGACTTAGGTTCATCATGGTTTTCCGTGTGGCGTGCGGCAGTGGCGGGCGAATGACGTCCTCTCGCACAATCACGTGGTGATGATGATGATGATGATGACTGTGATGATGTTGATGACGATGACGGTGACGATGATGAAGATTGTGATGGTGATGGTGAGGATGCCGATGATGATCATGATGATGATGATGATGATGAGGTGCCATGAGCGGCTCAGAAGGGGTTGAGGGCTCCATGGCCGCGTGGTTGCAAGATTCATCATCATTCGAGATGTGGTCTGAGACATTCTGGGAGACAATCTGCTTCCACTGGCGATGGTAGGTCTCACAGTTGACGGGGGAACCGGGAAGCCAGGATACTGGGGTCTGCATGAGCCTAACAGGAGCCGAACCAGTGAGCCGACTCTCGGTTTGAATTCTGAGATCACTGAAGCTACCAGGCTACCAGTACTTCGTCTTTCAGTTGCAAAGCAAATGGTTCGCTGTGGGCGGTGTCTGAGTCGGCGGCCGAGGCTACCAAGCACGGTCCCACGAATACTGGTGTTGTGGCTGAGATGAAGCGGAAATCAAGTCCAAGGGTGGTCGAAGGATGCAACTGGTACAATGCTGGCTGACATTCAAGCAACTCGAGCTCAAGCAGGAAATCAAGGCACACAGACCTAAATACAAACCTTTTGTTTCCACCGCGCTCTCATCTCTGACAGGTTCATTAGGATCATTAGGTTGCCCGTCCGGGCCGCATAAATTTGCGTGGAGTGTCTCTTCGAGGCCGTCCGACATCAGCTTCGCTTATAATGGACAAGGAGTGTGTCACCCCGTATGATCGAACTACAGTAGTGCCCTCGCTGTAATGCGACCTCGCGATGGCAGACACAACGTCGTGCAAAGGTGCCATGCCACCCGGTCCTTCTCGTCAGACCGACACAGTCTAGAGAAGCCAATGTGCTTAGTAGATGTGGCAAACTGCAGTGCCAGCTGTGGCTCGTCTCGGTCTGCAGTGGAACGTCCCACCGTTTTGGCACCCAGCTTCTCAGAGCAAGTAAGACTCGGATGCCTCGACATGTCGAAATCTGTTCAGGCCACTTCTTGTGGGAAATGAGGGGCTGACGTGCCTAGCAAAGGTCAGCCAAAGAACCGATGATCAGGGCAAAGATCTCGCGATTGAAAACGAATCGCATGGACGTCGCCCTAACAATCCTCAGAATTAAAGAGCAGATCCTCCTATGCGGCAAGCATCATGCTGAAAAGCGTTGCCTGACTATCGATGTACTAGCAAGCCCTTGCTGACCCCATCACGCGTGAAGTTTACATGCTCTGAAACAGGTGTATCCTACTGAACACTACTGGTCCAGAGCTGCCACTTCGGATGATGCGGACCTGCAAAGAAGCCTTGGTGCGACTAGCGAGTCTTACATCGGCTATTTATCAGTGGCGCTCTGGAGACTTTCTGCGGCGAGGAGGAAAGGATGCCAGCAGCCAGTCCGTGTTTGATCTGCTGAATCGAAAGCCGCTCGCATCCGCTTTGGCCTAAACTCGCCCTCCTCTGCTGGCTTTGGCAGATTTTCTACACCAGCGAAACAACTGGGTGATCGGTTGCGGCGTGCCCGTGGGGACTGACGCACAATATAACCTGCCGTTATGAGATTCTCCCAGAGGCCAATCCCGGGCTTCCGAATTCCATGTCAATAGGACTGCGCTGCCAGAGCTGTACTGCCCTGTGAGGCATGCAGCCTTCCACGTAAATGCATGGAATGTGAAACTGAGCACCTCTGCCCTGGTCTGGTTCGAAGATGTTACTCAGCCCGCTGCTCCGGGTATCACCAGTGGCAACCAACAGAGCAAGACAAAGTAACCACATGCGTCATCTTCGATCCCAGACAGAGTAACGAGACGCAACATCTTCGATCGTGAGAAGAAAGCTTGCAAAGTCTGTCGGAGTCATCCTGGGAACCTGCATGGCAAACTCGGACTGTTTAGACAGTTCTTGGTAGGTTTGCCTGTCCCCGCTTGATCTTCTGGTGTAGTGCAACGCATGGTCTTTTTTTGCATGCTTCTTGTCACTACCTGCTCTCACTGACTGATGGGTCATCCAGCGCTGTTTTTGTGCGATGACGCTTGTCAAAAGTGAGAACGGGATTGAGCATTCCGCGGACCCTCATGCACATTGCCAACATGTGGCAGAGTTATGCACCACGAGGTGGTCCAGTGGTATAAATTCAGGCAGCTCTCTTGGCGTCTCACTAGCTCCGAGATCAATCTTCTTGTCATGGGCATCCCTGCAGCTCACCAGGCCGACATACAGCGCTTGAACAAGGATGATTAGGACCTCAGTCCATGTCAACAGCATGCAGTTTGGGCACAACATTTCAAAAGCCAAGAGACGCAGCAGCCCTGCACTGTGGGTGCTCGTGACTCGCGTGACCGAACGAGCTCAACCCTGACCCTATCTGCTCTGTTACAAGATTGCTGGTCCGCAGTCTGCAGAAACAGATGGGGGCCTCAGGCCAGGGTTAATTCTGAGACTTGTCAATCCTTTACCTTCTGAGACAGAACCTTGTATAACATGCAATGCGTGCCGATGAAAATCGACATCTTCCCTAAGATGTCCTGCTTGAGAAAGTAGGAAAGCTTATGAAGGTGTCGGTGCTTGGTCCAGCGATGCAATCCAAGCAGCTGAAGCCAGCCCAAATCCTAATCGTGCTGCAGCTAGGGGGTGATGCCAGTCGAAGGTTGCATAGATCGGACATTCATCCTGCGGATAAAGCTCCACGCACTGGGCAGTCTCATCCCGTGGACAGCTCCAACAGCCTCCAGCCATGCCAATGCGCAAGGCATAATGGACATAAGTCCATCCGACATAAATGATCTGGTACAGGAACAGCCACCCGACTCGCGCACAAGAGAAGGGAATACGGGTAAAGATAAGGTTTATGAGCAGAAGGCCGGCATTGATGCCATGTAGGAAGACATCCATGTAAGGTAGCTCGCCTCCGGGATAGATTAGGACCCAGAAAAGCACAGCCACCGTCATCGACAAAGGCTGAGACAGGGAGTTCAGCGCCATGGAGATGCGGACAAGCCAAGGCTCGGCAGGCGCAACCATATGGTTCTGCACGTATGGAAACCCCAACATGGCCACGACCCACTGTAGGATCAGGTCAACCGCTTCGATCCAGCTCGCCTGCACTGTCAAGAATATGAAGTGGTATGCTCCTGGAAGGTCACACAGGTTTAAGCACTACTACGCTCGGTTTGCAGACACGAATTGGATACTAGCTGGCTGAAACCACCCGGTCCGTCGTCTCTGCGCACCCACCAGTTCCAGAGAACGTGTGCAGTAAAGATGGCAGCCCAAAGTGCACGGAAGGACACGGTCAACAGGGGCCTTGTCCATGGCGATGTGGCGAAGGCTTGCGGCCACTGCTGCGAGTTCCACTCCGGGCAGACGGAGCTGGATAGGCCCATGTCTCGAGCTTTGCCGAGAGGGCTTGAGGGCCCTTGAGGGCTTGAAAAGGCGAAAGTAGGCGAAAGGAATCTGCACAGGAGAGAGCTCCATGCAGAGCAGGCGCTCTAAGGCTAGCGTGTCGCAGCCTTAGAGCCCTCCATGTGGTCTCGATTGGACGTTTGCCTTAGAACTGTGCGGCTTTCGGCGAAAAAAAGTCACAAGCTCCGCTCCCTCACTGAGGGGATGGCTTTCGCAGCCGCCTTTCGGACCCTGCACAGAGGACTCTTCGGAATGCTCTAGGCGCGGCTCAGCAAGAGGACGTGAACCTTTAGACTTTAGACTTGGGAGCGGCTTCGAGCCAGAAAGCCCAGACGACTCCCTGAAAGAGGCTGACGAGGAAGCTTGCAAGAAAGGGGGCCTTTCCATCGTCGCTTCCCCGTCCGGGATGCCAATGAGGCAGCTTGCTGGCAGCTTGGATGGCCTTCCATTTCGGATTCGGAAAGTGGTTTTGTGAAAGACAAACATGGGCTTCATGTCCTGCCTTACTAACTGCAGATTTCAAGTTTAGTTGGCAGAAGTTCCGCTTCTCACACTATGCAGTATCAGGCAGTCGTTCTTCGTTTTCGCAACCCCTTTGTCTGCAGGTCGCTTGCTCATGCCTCCTCCGTGTGGCCTGATGGCACCGGGCATCTGCATCCTCAGCTCGTCGAACGGGAAACTGAGAAAATCAATGCACATGCCAAAGGTGCACTCCGACACCAAAATCGCTCTCTAGCTATGATTAGCTGCCTCATACCCTTCCATGCCAGTCAACGCCAGGGAACCATCCAGGAAGCAAGGCTGGGGCCCGTCCCGCTTTGAGCGTTGGATGTGGGCCTAGCTGCATTCGCACTGAGCAGATTCAGGGCTGGGGCTCAAGGGCTCGCACAGGTTCGGGCGCTGGGCTCGTTCCCAGGTCCGCGGACCTGGGAGAAAGCGAGAGGCAGGGAGAACGGTCAGTCGTTTCACAGACTTTGCTGCTGTGGCACTTTGTCTCTGCTTCTGCTGCAGCTCCCGAAAATCAGCCAGCCAGGCCTCGACCGACATGTCTGCAATTTTCCCTATCGCAGCAACAGCGCCTGCCTCCCAGTCTTCGTCAGCGATGCTTGGGTGGTCCTTCCAGGGATCCTCGTAAGGCGGAGGCCTCCATAGCAGCGCTCCCGACACAAACATAAAGCAACTGGTTGCTGTGGTGGTCCTGCCTCCATGCAGCACACCGCATCAACGTCTTCGTCTGAGGAGCATCATCCTCACAGACACCCGGGAAGCGATTCGAAAGTTCCAGCTCTTGCAAACTGACATGCAGCCTCCTCACTATTGCCATTGTCCAAAGCAGGGCTCGTTGAGCCCGAAATTGTTGAGGCTGTCGAAAGCCTCAGCCGACCGCCCCGATCATGGCAGAGCGGACTATTGCCTTGCTAGGACCAAAGCTTCGCGTCAATCTTGGAGCACCCTCTTGTCAGAGGCTGTGGCGCAGATTTGCAGGAGAGACTCGCCACGCTGAGCAAACCTCGGGCGTCGCATAGCCCTCGCGTCCCGTCCGGACATGACAGTTGAAAATAAGGTGAGGCACCGATGCTACCGGCTTTGCTCACTGCCGCAGACGGCAGTGGACAAGGCCTCTTCTGGCGAGAAACTGCCGTCAGTGCTCCGGCTCCAATACAAGTAGCAAAACAAGAGTGAAAAATAGGCGGACACACGCAGATTGCACGGCACGATGCAGAGACACACCGCGCCTGCTTGAATTGACTGTGTGCCCGTGTTTCACTGAAAAAAATCCTCTCCTGCAACCTGTGGCTATCTGGCATGCATCAAAACCGAGGACAACTTGGTTGGTCTGGCCCTTCCTGTTCTTTGTTTCGTGCGGACGCAGTCGGAGAAGCATTACCCGAGTCATCAGAAATCAGTGCACGTGGGTGATGAGCTGACACTTTGCTCGCTGGAAAATGTCGATGTATTTGTGATGTGTCCCAGACTGCTGCCAGGGTGCTTGCGAGTGGCATGTCTCACGTTTCTCACGCTTTGGGCGCACAGTTTGGTTAGACACAGCATGACACAGCCCTCTGGTATGCAAACTCAAGACAAGCAAAGGTTTGTCAGCCAGGGATGGGGGTTCTGTCTCGATATGCCTTTACCTTTTAGCTGGGAAAGTCGTAGACCTGGAATCCTGGCGATGGTGTAGACCCCTGGATGATCCCCCTCATCGGGCACAAGGCTTACTGCTTTGCCCCGAGTCCGGAGGGGGGGGCGCGAGATGCACCGACGGGTGTAGTCGGTCTCATGTGCACCAGCCGAGTGGCTCGGGTAGAGTGTCGTGAGACCCGGCAGGCCCTGTACTGAAATGAAGACAAATGTCTCATTGGCGACCAAAACGATCTCCGCAGAGAGTAATGCAAGATACGCTTTGGAGCAATGTCCCCGATCAACTCAACAGGGGACCGATTGCGATGTTGACGTCTTCATCAGACTAGAGATGGGGTGTAGGGACTCCGACTCCCGTCCAATCAAGGATGCCAAGGGCAGTGGCACCGCCTTGGAATGTGCCAAGCTGGGGCAGGCGCTTTCGGCTCCAGCAAGCAAGGCATGCCAAGCCTCGGCAGTTGCGCGCAGACACTGTTGCGACAAACAAAGAAAGGAAAACGCTTGACGGACACGGTCCTAAACATAAGAGTCCATCAAAGACACCGCGGTGCCATCAAAGTCCAAGACTTGCAGGCAGTCGCATGCCCAGCAGCGCACATGCCGGTGCAACTTGACATTGGTAGCAAAATGCTTAGCACATCGAGTGCCGACCGCCTACCGTCTTGTTTCCTCCACACAGCCATAACGCTTGAAGGCGTGGACCACCCAGGCACGCCTGTCCACCAAAGTCAACCGGATCGGTAGATTTGACGATGACGGTATGAAGCCATGAAGCCGCCAGTCAAGGCTGCCGGAGCAAGAGGCCGCTCCGAAGCGGCCGCTCCCCATTTGGGACACCGAATCCCAGTTTTGCATATCGTGGCCTTCCACCCGTCCGCGGCGCTCGTCGGCCTCGGGAGAGCATACCGCCCACGCAGAGTGCCGTGTGCTGTGTTGCCCCGGCTCATCTGAATCCACAACAAAACCTCCGCGGTGGCCAAACGTATGCACGACAACAGATATCAGAGGCGACAGACGCACAAGTATGTAAGAAACCCAGTCGGCACCAAGATGCCACGAACGCCCGAAATTTGGCCTTAGCGAGGTCCCCAACATGATGGAGGATACTCCCTAGATGTCTGTATGTCAGAACATCACGGAGCCTGGCGACCGGCCAAAGTCGGCAATGAAATGGGAGGGGGGGTGGGGGGGGTGCTCTGTTAGTGGACAAACAAAAGTCTGCGTCCTGACCCTGCGCGCTTAGGACTGAACTGCCAGGAGGGCCTCCGTCTTGCCGACGGCAACGAGGTTTGGCAAAAGCGCTCTGGATAGGCACGCGTCTGCCAGGCTCGACCCCCCTTGCTGCAGAGCGCTGACGGTAGTCTGCATCGTCTCCCTGGAGGAGTGATAGACCATCCATCCAAGTAGGACCCAACAAGGCTATGCGTTCGCTGGGCGGCACAGGAAGACTCCCCTTGGTCCCAGGTACTGCCAAAGGCAGAGGCCTATGATCTATCAAATCTTCGCAACATCACAATCATTCATGCAGGTCATACAGATCTGTCCTGACATGCCACCAACCTGTGTCTCTGCGTGTTACAGCGGGGGAAATCCAAGCCGTGTCGGTAGCCGTAGTTTGCGTAGTTCCATACGATCCCACATCTGCTTCATGAAGACATGCAACCACCAAGTCGTTTGAGGTTGCAGGCACCATTTGTCTGAGCGCTGACAAGGCGGAACAGAGCTTGCTGTTAGTGTGTAGTTCATGTGCGACTTTCTGTTGAAGCAACGAACCTACAAACGCCTACAAACAAATCACAGAAGCTCACCCCTGATTGCCACACCTTTGTGAGTCCACGGATTCGATCACTCTGGGCGGTGGGGTGCCACTGCGAGGAAGCATCTGCACCTCAACAGCATGGATGACACAATCGCCCGGGGAAGGCACGATGAAAAAACGATGCCGAGCCCCAGGCTGGTTGCAAGGGTCCCGGGCCACACCGCGCCGGAACCTCCTGTGACAAAGCACGACGATCCGACGGGCACCTCCAGCCGCAAGTCAAACCGCGAAGGAAGGTAAAAAGTGCTTTGCACCAGCATTACAAGTCAACACGGCTTTTCTCACAAATCGGCACAGGAATCGGCACAGACTGAAGCAAGACAAACTCAAAACAGGAGACGTAGGCTGATATGTTCCACAAATGCCATGCTGCGCGCTGAGCTGCGAAGACACGCGTTAGGCTCTGCAGTACCTGCCGCGATGTCGCTGGTGCCTCGTGGGCGGTAGTGAAAGAGCACATACCTCAGAATGAAATCAAACACTGCGTTACAGGAAGCAGCTCTTCCACTTAGTCGTGTCCAGGGGCGGCTGAACACAGCTTCATGTCGGTGAGCATGCGCTTAGCCTTGTAGCAGCGACAGGCTGACGAAACTCAATCCATGCCCTTGTGCTTGCATCCTGAACTGACGTTACGCTAAAATGTCCGTGGACTCCCTCTTTACTTACAGCGAAAGGCTAAGGATTTTCATGCTACTTCGTACTTGGGACGAGAATGCCAAGATGCGCATACACCGGTTGGAACTGCCTAGTGCTGCTACCTTCGTGTCACGCGGCTTCGCGCTTCTCTGCCGACAGCTTGCATGAGCTGCCCCCTCCTGCTGTCCTCCCTGTCGGCCCTTGTGTCCAACAGTATGCCATGGTACAACAGCATGTGCATTTTTGTCATGCGGCTTGGATGCGCCTGGATTGAGGCCGGGCGGTACAGTTCCTATGTGATGTAGACTCATGGCAAGACTTGCGAGAATCATGTGCACAGACACGTTGAATGCACCTTCAGCTTGATACGGAGAGTGCTGAACC